ACACACACACACCCAAAATCATGCTCACACTCGCACTCACGCTAACACTCGCACACTCACACACACACATCCACGCACACACTCACACTCACACCCTCACACACGCTCGCTCACGCCAGGAGGAACATCCGGAGACACATAACTGGAGTCGTCAGTTGCGCTTCCTGTCCTCCCCCAGACTGCCCAAACCCCGTGTCCTTCCTCGGGGCCACGGGAGGCCAGCCGCCAGCAGAGGTGGCTTGGTCATGGCGGAGAAGTGAGTTTAATAATGCCCTAGGATGCCCGGGCAGCCGGCGTGTGCCCTGCCACGCCCACGTGCAAGTGGGTGCTTTCCAGACGTGCACAGATAAAGTCAGGGTCCTCTCAAATCAAATCGTAACGTAAATGTCATTGCGTTTGGGGGGACGAGGAGGAGACGTCTTTGCCAGGGCGGAGACAACATTCTCTGACCCTCTGACCTAGAGCTCGGCCAGCGTCGATCCCGAGCGATCCAAACTGTGGTTTAAGCAGTCAGGCTTCGTCTGGAGAACCAGCCTAACTGTGTAAACTCTTCACGCGTCCAGATACTGTTTCGGCCTTAGGCGTTCTGTTGAAAGGCGTTAGCGCGTGGTTCGCCTTCTGCTAGACAATGACAGGTAAGCCCCGGGCCCTAGAGTGTCCTCGCCGTCGGTCCCCAGGCGAGCCCGTGCGTCCTGCAGGGCTGGCCGGGCCTAGCTACCTGCAGGCCCCCCACCCCCACCCCGCGAAGCTGGCTGCCATCTCTCCACAAACAGGTCGTGAAGAGAGGGGACCTGTCATTACATTCGGGGAAAGCAAGATCTGGGATTGAACCTCGGCTATAAGAAAGTTGAAGAACAGAACTTTCAAATATCTGCGTTGACTAAGCCTTTCGAGCATAAACCGCTATACTCCTGACTGTAATGTGTGCTTTTGTGTTACACACGGTGCTAAGTCGAACCGGAGTTTTAAAACGGGAGACTTACAGGACGAAGGCTGGGTCTGAGAAGCGTACCTAACCCCCACGGGCGCGGGCGGGAGGCGTGCCTGGCCCCTGGTGACGAGGCAGCCCCGCTCCGACCACGTGCTGCGTGCCGCCCAGCCTGTCGGCCCGCCCGTCCGGCTCCGTCACACCTCCGAGAGCAGGACCTAGAACCAATGACACTCGTCCCGGGGGGAAAACCGAGCCTGGGCACTCAGGCCACAGCCCACGCCCTGCGCATGGTCCCGAGGGGTTCAGGAGGGCACGTCCTTGGGACCCTGGCACCTGGCGAACAGGGAACCCCCTCGCATGCGTCCCGGGAGGTCCTGGCACACCCGTGCACCCCAGATGTCACTGGGCGCACCTGCTGTATTTTGTTTTCCAGCACGGGTGTGTGTGCACGACGCGCGAGCGCCCTGCCTGTTCTGCACGCTTGGCCGCGGGCATCAGACGGGGGCGGTGTTCTGAACGCCACTCGGTGTCCCAGAAACGCAGGACTGTATGTGAGGAGCACCGTTTTAGAAATCAGAAGCCCGTCCTCTAAGAGGCGACGTGGCCGGCTGGGGGTCACGCTGCTCGGCGGCGGCGGCACCAGGAATGGAACCGGGGCGTCCTGTTCCCTAAAGTCCCCCGTTTCCTCCAGCCGCACGTCCTGGCGGCCGCCGTGTGGTCACAGCGTCACACGGGGCGTCTGCTGCCCCTGAGGGGCATGCTGAGAGCTGACGAAAGCACGTGAGGCGCAGACCGAGGGCAGGGCGCACGCGAGCCACCCGCACACGCGGAAGGAAGCAGGGCGCAAGCCCCTTACCTGAGGGTCAGAGAACAGCAGTCCCGTCACCTCGTGGGTCACCACGGCAGCGTTCCCAGGGATGTTTCTGGCCAAGACCGGAACTTCCAGATCCATCGCCTACAGGTGGGAAGAGGAGAGGGGCCAGGTGGGCGATGGTTTAAGGGCCTCTGGCCCGACGCGCCCACCGGCGGCGAGTCACTGCTCAAGTTAACTGGACCTCGGGCGTCTCCCGAAAGCCCGGCTTGGCAGACGGCCACACCCGCTGGGTTTTCAGTGCGACTGCATTTGCCAGACGACACGCTGTCGTCTCTCCGACAGTTACCCCCGTGTCACCGAGGACCCCCCACCCCGGTTTGGAGGCCACGTTTTCAGTCATCGTCACCGTCCCGGGAGGTACTTTCTTCCAGCACAAGCGGCGTGAAAGCCAAGAGGACCGAACGCGTCCCCTGGGCACACGGAACACAGCAAGAAGGGACGTGACTTATCCCTCCGGGTGTTCAGCAAGTGGACTTTCCATTCCCGGAGGTCTGCGGTCAGCACGTGGCGCCCCACAGCCCGACATGGCCTGGCCCGGGGACCTTGCTTCCCAGGACAGACAGGATTAGGCCGGCTCTCCTGAGGCCCCCGTCACCATGCTGCATTGACTCCGAGCCATCCCTGCCGCCCTGGCCAGTGCCTTTCAGCAGGTGACAGTCACCCCTTCGTAAGCTGCAGTTGGGAGCCAGGACCGGTCTGCAAGCTCAGCCAACCCACCGTCTGCTCCGGCCACCCACGGCCCACACGGTTCCGCCATGCTGTCCACCTCCAGGTGACAGAAGTCTGGTCGTGAAGGCGGCAACATTCGCTTTTCAGAAATGTGAAGTCACCCAGTTCCAGCCGCTCCGAGTCTCGCATGGGGCCCTCGAGGACTCCGAAGGGACTCAGACGGCCCACCTGCTGCCCTCACCCATGTGCCCAGAACGGTGCATGTCACACGGGTGCGTGTGGACACGTGCGGGGCCCAGGGCCTAGCTGCGCCGTGCGGCTCACCTGGTTTCCGGTCCCATGACACCTACGTCCTCTCAGGACACTGAGTTGAGGTTCCAGGCCCCCCACAATGAGGAGGGGTGGGGACGCACCTCCTCTCTGCCCCCTGAGACTCTTCTGTTTCCGCTGTCAGGGTGAAGCAGAGCTGGCTTGATGCGTGGACGAGAGCCACCAGCTTCCTGCTCGTCTCCAGCTGCACGGCCACCTCCCGGAAACAGCGACGGGCCCCCCTGGTTGAGGCCTCTCGGTGGTGTTTCGCGGTCACGGAAGGCTCCAGGTCATGGTTCTCCACTTCCGTTTCGTACGGTAAAGACCGGCATCGGCGATCGTCACGACACTTCGGGACAGGGAACTGGGTGGCACAGGCGAGGTTTCCCGAGATGGCGCATCTCACCATGAGGGTTGGAGTGCTTTACGGACTCACTGGCCGGACCGCCTGGCCTCTGACATGGCACAGGTGCACTCTGGTGTTTGGGGAAAGCACGGGGCCTTGGTCTTGGATAGTCTTGGTCTTGGACGAACTTGGTCTTGGACGGACTTGGTCTTGGATGGACTTGGCCTTGGACGGACTTGGTCTTGGACAGACTTGGCCTTAGACGGACTTGGTCTTGGACGAACTTGGTCTTGGACGGACTTGGTCTTGGATGGACTTGGTCTTGGACAGACTTGGTCTTGGATGAACTTGGTCTTGGACGGACTTGGTCTTGACGAGCTCTTGGTCTTACCGTCTTTGCCATCAGCTAGCACAGCAGCTCTCAACCTCACTGTGTACCCCAGTTGGTAGGTGTGATGGGGTACAATTTCAACGCCTGGGCACCAACTCCCCCACCCCCACCCACCCTGTGACCCTAACACAACGGTCAGACATTTGTGAAAGTCCCTCAGGTGATTCTGAGGCACAGCCAGGGCGAAGAGCCACTGGGCCAGGAAGTGCGCTGACACACACACTCGCCTTCCTGGGCCTCAGCTTACCATGTGGGAGCGAGCAACTAAAGTGTGCGTGGAGCTGAACTTCGGAGGACTGCGGCACGAATACCGCTTACGTGTCGGTGGCTCGCGCTGACCAGGACGCTGACGCGTGCGCTGTGAGGCCGTGGTGTGCTAAGCACAGTGAGCGACACCACTCACAGGCTCGTGCTGCCTGTGCCCGCGACACAGAGCAGGTCGTCAGCTCGCTGTGACTTCGCGTCTAGGCATTCGTCGGCCGACGGCAGACTGCGCCAGGTGGACGACACCTCGGAGGTCATCTCGCCTCGTCCCTCCACCTCGCGTAGGACCGGGGCTCGGGAAGGGGCTGGGCGGCACCCGGGGCCCGCGCCGAGGCGTTTGCAGCTCGCTCCATCCCGGGTGGTCCCTGCAGCGCTCAAGTTCAACTGGCCCCTTTGTCCACCGGCGCCGGGTAAGCACCAGTACGTCGGCGGAGACTACGCCAGAGGCGTCGGCTGAGCGGAGGGATCCACAGCTGAGGATGCAGCGACGGAGGTCGAGGTGCAAACGCGCAGCCGCGAAACCGGAGACCAGCGGCCCACAGACCCGGCCGACGCCGACGCCGACGCCGACGGCGACACAGTGCAGATCCCTCCTCGGGCTCGGGAGGTCTCGCCATCCCTCCCGAGCAGCCCGTTTGTGCGTCAGCTCGACCACGCTCGCCAAGCGCCCGTCACACGGGCGAGGCCACCTGCCGCTGAGACCGTCCGCTCCCCGTCACGCATTTAACAAATAGTGGCTACCAAGCTGCAGGCGGCGAGACTCGCGAGGCTTAGGCGATGGGACCCCGAGTGGAGGAGCCGGGGAGGTGGTGCTGGGTGGCAGCTGAGCTTCGCTCGGCCTGATTCACATTTCCCGGTGGTCGGCGGCACTGAGCTAGACTCCGGATGAGCAGCGAGGACGCGGAGGTCACACCCCTCTCTCTAAGAAAAACCGCTATTCGGCAGAAAAGGTAGAACGCAATCCGGGGCGTGAAGCTGCAGAGCGGGGAGAGGGAGACGCTGCAAGAAGACGCTCTGAGGGCCCCACGTTCACAGGACACGGATTCCGAAGTCGCCTCTTGAAAATCAAACGCTCTTGAAGAAAGGGGTCGTCTTAAGCAAGAGCAGGATGTCCCGGAGGCATCTGACGCCTGGGCGAGCTGGCTGTCATCGACCCTCTGCCTGCCCTGTCTGCCACGGGCTCAGGTCACAGTCGACCTTTTTAAAAACCTTTGTAGCATCTCCAAAGACACAGTCCACAGTACAGGGCAGAGCAGCCTTTAAAAATGCAGCTGCCGGGCTCCCGGCCGAAACGGGGAGGGGGACCCTGGAAGGAAGGGCCCGCCACCAGCACGGGGGTGGGGGAGCGGTTGCAAAGTGCTCCCCAGGCCGAGACCACCACTCCTGGTCCACTCGCCTGCCATCGGCCTTGGTGGGAGTGGGCCCAGCACAGTGACCACGGGGTGCGGTCGGCGGGTCTAGGGCATCCACACATTAGGACCTTATATCTTTGGGGTCAGAGCGTTTCTCTGTGGGGACGCCAATGGTATTCTGGGTGCAGTTCTCCGATTCAAAAGACCTTGAAAAGTACGTCCCTTTCCTGCAGCCCCTCCCCCAGCTAAATTCGAGGAGCACCCTTCTCACTGTGAGCCTTCCAAGGGCCCTTCCGTTTTCAAGGTGGGAAGGGCACGGTACTGCCACACACACATCTGGAAATCAGCCAAGGTCAAATGACACAAAGTCACAGTTGTCCTTGGAAGTCGTTAAACGAATCTTCAACCACGGGGGCCTTGACCTGGAAGTTAAGAGCCCAGAATGACCTTCTCACTGCTCTTTGCTTTAGAATGGGCCTTCCTGTACCCTGGGCGGTGAAAAGTTTGACCCGAAGGGCAGAGTGTGTGCACGTGTGTGCAGTACGTGTGTGTGCACGCGTGTGCAGTACATGTATGTGAGTGTATGCATGCATGTCTGTGTTCTGGGGTGGGGAGGAGAGCCCATGAGGAAGACTCAGATGAGAACATATTAAAAAAAAAATTAAATTATTAAAATACCGTTCATCTAATTCCATGCTGGATTCCACTCCACAATACGCCCAGACGTGAAAGGGTGGAGGAACGCGCGTGGAGCTCAAGTCTGAAGTTTGGAGCTCATCGAGGAGGAAGTCTGTTTTCTCCGATGGGGTTTTTACACGCCTCCGTGAGAAAACAAAGCTAATTCTGAAAGGGCAGAGGACCCCTCCCTCCAAAGGCGACGCGCACTCACGCCGTGGGTCCCTGGGCAGGGACCTGAATCACTGCTAATGAGACGCACCCTCACCACCCCCAGAAATCAGCTCCATTCAAAACCCTCCGCCCAAAGGTTATTTTGGAGTTTTCGAAACGAACACAACGTCAACATGTGAAGGCAGTCGGAATTGCTAACAGCTGCCTTTCCCTCGAAGGCAAGTGAGATTTGACAGCCACTCGTCTGCAGTGAAATGCTGTGTGTGCTGGTTAAAACTCATCCCCGAATCCCACTTCGCCTTCTCTTAAGACGCTGGGGGGACATTTACGGGGGGTGGGGGTGGGGTGGCTCCAGGACAGGCCCTGTGACAACGCGCGGTTCTCGGGCCAAGCTGAGGGGCAGGCTGCACGGCCCCGTGACTACAGCCGAAGCTGATTTCAGACCACAGAGATGAATGCTGAGCCTTGACCTCAGACCGAGGTGCTGACACCTGGCTGCGGATAAAAGCATTACAAGCCCACACTCGGGGCTTCGGAGGCGTCCGATGCTGGGGTCACGGGCGTGGATGCGGGGTTCCCCCTGCCCCCGACGGTTTGGATTGATTTTTTTAAAATGGTGCCACATTAAAAGAAAGTATCAGGTGTGTGACATCCGTCATTTCTTAAACCGAGGGAGGATCTTTTCCTGGATTAGTTACCATGTTCTCTGAAGCGCTACGTTTCGCAGACTGTACCTTCAGCCACTAAGTTAAATAATTTCAATGCGTGTCCGAGGGACTCGGGGATCTCACGAATACTTACGATGCCCCCACGGCACCGCTCTGAGCAGGCCCGGGACTGAGAAGCCCTCCGGGGAGGGAGAAGGCGTGTCACCGGCGCGGGGGCGCCCGGCCTCGCTGCGGGGGTGACACCACGGAAAAAAAAGGAGGCTCGTTATTCGCGCCTCTCCCCGCCAAGCACAGGGGAGCCGGCGAGGGCCGCGGGGCTGGCCAGAGGGTGCGCCCCTAGCCCACGCCGACCAGGCGACTGGACAGGCCGGCCGCTCGGCAAGGGAGCTGAAATTGTGCCCCGGCCGCCGAGCCGTCTGCTCTGCGCCATCTCCCCTCCCAGGCCCTCTCTACCCCCCAATTCTGGGGTGAAAGAACACACTGGAGAAAGGGGGAAGAAACCACGAAAACAGAGGCTCCTTGCAAAG